TGTCTGAGTAGGCCGTCTCATCATTGTTAGTGATTCAGCCCACAATTGTGGTATCGTCTGCAAATTGTATTACTGCATTGGTGTGGTGAATTGGCAGACAGTTGTGTGCCAGGAGCTTCGAGGAATGGGCTTCCATGGTCAAGCAGCTGCATGCAAGCCTCACATCACCAAGCACAACGCCAAGCATCAGATGGAGTGGTGTAAAGCACGCAGTTACTGGACTCTGGAGCAGTAGAAACGTGTTCTGTAAAGTGACAAATCACAAATCTCTGTCTGGCACTTTAATGGATGAGTCTGGTTTTGGTGGATTTTTTAATGGATGAGTCTGTTTGGTGGAACATTACCTGCCTGACCACATTGTGCAAACTGTAAATATTGGTGGAAGAGGGATAATGATATGTGGTTGTTTTCCAGGAGTTGGGCTAGAACTCTTAGTTCTCATGAAGTGAAATTTTAATACTTCAACATACCAAGACATTTTGGACAATTCTGTGCTTCCAATTTTGTGGGAGCAGTTTGGGGAAGACTCACGAAGCAAAGTCCATAAAAACATAGGTGGGTGAGTTTGGTGTAGAAGAACTTGACTGAACTTTATTAAACAAGCATCCAGGATCACAGTTATCACTCAGTATAGTTTGGTCAGATATTCTTTTAGATAATCATAACATGTGTTGCTAACTTGCACAATATTGTAGAAACAGGCATCTTGGTAAAAGATTTTTGTCTTATTAGCCTTGGCACAATAATTTTTTATATAATAAAATGTGAACCATTTGAAGTTGGTCATTTTTCAAACTGCAGATGTTTAACAAATTTTAACATATTACAGAGTTAAGTGTTAAGTAAATGACAAGGGAATAGCAACTAGACAGAAATCATACAGAGATAAGCAGTATGATTTTCCTTGTTTCTTAACATGATACTTATATTGATTATGTATTAGCATATTAAGAGGTCATGTGATTATTTTGTAAATAATTCTACCATATATTGAATTATTATATATAAAAACATAAATATACTACCTTACCAATAACAGTGTTATATACATAATGGACCCACATGAACGTGTGTATGTGATAGATTTAGTTGATGCAGGTAAAGAATGTATAGATGGTAAGTATATTGGGTTAGACTGGAGTCAGTAAAGCCTTCATCAGCACACTCTGTGAATCCTCAGCCAGCTCATTCAGGCAACTGTCTAACATGTAGTAGGTGGTCCAATAGGAAATCCCACCAGCTGCCATGGATCCAAAAACAGGAATGTTGCTCACCAGGTACTCAAGAACCATTAACCCACCTCCAGCTGCCTTGGTCAGCAGCTTAATGACCACATCAGCTGTTATCTCCTCATTAAGGGGAGATTTGAGATCCGATTTCAGGTCTTCAAAAGTTACCCCTGTTCTGCCAGAAAGATTTCTCAAAGAATCGTCATCTAGACCAAATGCCTTATAATATCTGGAGATCTCTTTGACCAAAATAGTCACATCAACAGCAATTGATAGGCCTGGGATGGGTATGGCAGCTATTGCGCCTGATAGTACGGCCATTTTCCATACGTCTGCCTTCAAAGCTGCCTTCTTTTTCTCAATGATTTTTTGGCTCATACTGGGCAGGGACAACAGGAAGACATGCCTCTTGTGCATGGGAAGCTCCTTCTCCATGGTCTCTTCAAGTAAAGGGAAGTCATAGCT